CACACACACACATACACTGCCCACCCATATACACACAGACCCCCATACACAGCCCCCCATACACAGCCCCCCATACTAACATTGCCACACACATACACTGCCCACACACTCTACACATTCACACACTACACCCCCACACACACACTGAACCTTTCACACACATTGCACCACTGCCCCTATTCCCTACTACAGCCTCATATCCCAGCAGACCCCAGGTAAGTTGTCAAACTGCTCTTAAACGGTTTGACTACTTACTCTGGAGCAGTAGTGGTTATTGTGCATGGATTATTTCTTTAAATAATCTACAAGTGCCCCAGTAGCCAGCCAGCCAACCCACAGGCTGGCCAGTAGCAAGCCCACAGGCAGGTAGCCAGCCCACAGGCCTACAGCAAGCCACAGGCTTACAGCCAGCAAGCCATAGCCTGCCAGCCGCAGTCAGCAAGCCCACAGCCTGCCGGCAGTAGCCAGCAAGCCCACAGCCTGCCAGCCGCAGCCAGCAAGCCCACAGACTGCCAGCCAGCAACAGTAATTAAGGCAAGAGGAGCCAACTTGGCTTAGGTATCAGCGAGCTATGTTGTGTTGCTATATTGTGAATAGGAACCAGAGTGTTGGAGAGACCACCCTCCAGGCCCCATTAGACTCTAGCCTCTGCTAGAAATCCCCTCCATGGCCCATTAGCCCTCAATTGTAGTTTCTACTGGGGCCTGGAGGCGACTGTTTCCAGCAGGGAATATCTAATGGACGCTGAGATGGCCTCTGTTAGAAAGACCCCCTTCCAAGCCTTTTAGACTCCATTGTGGTCTCTAATGGGGCTTGGAGGGGATTCTTTCTAACACACCCTCTAAAGGACACTGAGATAGCCTCCGCTAGAAAGACCCCCCTCCATGGCCCATTAGCCCTCAATTGTAGTCTCTACTGGGGCCTCGGAGGGCTTATTGCCCTTTTGTTCCTTGTGTCTAAAGATTGTGTACGGTGTGGCTGGAGGCGGGACAAGGGTGGCGCTTGCTGCAGAGTATGGGTGGGGCCTGTAAGGGGGCCCTTGATTTATTTTGCCCGGGGGCCCTGAGGGTTCTCAGTCCGCCCCTGGCTGGTCCCCCTCTCCACCAGCAGAGAGAGTGTCAGGGAGAGGAGCCTGATACCCCCTCTCCCCAGCGGCAGTTTACAGTTCAGAGAGAGGAGCTTGTTACACCCTCCCTCCAGCGGCAGCCTAACCCAGCAAGGGGAGATGTTACACCCCCCAACAGTGCAGATGGGAACGTAGTCTCTGCACTTGCAGCACCAGGGGTAGGGACAGTCGGTCCTGTTCCCCAGCCACAGAGCGGTGTATCCAGAGGGGAGACAGTCGGTCTCTCCCTCCCACAACCAGGCTCCCACCAGGCTACTCCCGTGGTAGCACTGGCATCAGGGCAGAGTACCGCTGGTCTCTGCCCACTCAGCAACCCACCAAGGCAGCCTAACAGTTGCCCACACAGTCGTGGTGAGGCACCTGGACATGGACAAAGTTCTCCTCTACCCAGGTGTAGTAACCAGTTATTGTGGGTGGGCTGTACTGCTGTTTCTGTTTTGTGGGTGGGTTGCTGGACTAACCAGGGCACTGACCGGCAGGAGGTCAGATACCCTGTTAGTCTAGTTGGTAAAGGGGAGAAGTGTGGCGAAACCAACCTCGCCACTGTGAACTGGAGAAGCCTGGTTGCTCGCCTGCTCCCTTTGGACTATGGCCCTGCAGGTTAAACTGTTTATTTCCCCTGCAGAAAGGCTTATTTGTGTGATCTGAGTGCCATTCATCTAATAATGTGCACTCAGATCCCAGCTATCTGGGGATATGTGAAATGTCTGTGTGTTATGTGTAAATGTGACTTTATGTATTTTAAAGTGTTTTGTGTCTTTTGCAACCATGTGCTTAATGGAGTCTTGTGTCTATCCTGGGAGATAATTGAATTACTCTCCAGGATAGAAGACTCTGAAACTGGTTTGGGCCAGAAAGCCATGCTTCATTTAGTCACAAAGGACTTTCCCTTAACTTTTGAACCCCTGGTCTGATTCGTGCCATTTTTTAATATGTTGTTCCCCTGAATGGATTGATTATGAAAATGTATGTTTTATGTTTGTGACATGTATATTTTAGAAGTTATAAATATTGTGTAAAAACTGTATTCCTCTGCCGGTGATAATGAGATTACCCATTGTGTTCAGTAATCATATCACCTGCAGAGGGGAGGATTTTGTGTGGGAGTGTCTGGGTGTATTGTACGAATTGATTGGTTGTTTTGTAACGCCCTGTGGGCTGTACTATGTTTTGTGGATTGTAATAAAAACCAGGCTGGGTGTGCCAGCACTGAGTTCCTGTTTTAACCCTCAAAGTGAAGTGTCGTCTCATTATTGGGGGAAGGATTTATTGTATGCTGTTCCAGTTTGACTGCTAGGAGAGTAAACCTATTCGTATGGTTCCTATTCAACTGTCTACAGCATTCATATGCTCGAGAGAAGGTATACGCTTCTCTGGTTCGGTGATTGTGGTGTCGGCTGCAGTGCTTGGAGTCCTCAGGAAGCGCTAGGAGCATCTTTCAACGGAGGTACCCCGTTGGGGTGCCAGGCGATCCGTTACAGAGACCATCCCTGTTTCCTGCTGTATATAACCGGTTACACAGCTCATTAAAAGCTCAGAAGTCACTTTGAACCTTGTTTTGTATCGTTCATTGGGACTACTCACCAGCTGGTTAGGGACGAGGAAAAATACAGATAGTTGCAAATTGCTACAAAAGACCATGACAAGGGAAAATGTCTGACAAAGGAAATCTCTCACTAACAAATGGGGGCTCGTCCGGAAAAATATATTTACAGTATGAATCCTCATCAACCACCACACTTTCCCTGCCCTGTATGTTTGTTGAAGAGGATCCATACTGTATATATATTTTGTTTATAAATTAGAGACCTTAACCACACCTATATTTTCAGCAGTCCAACACATGCTTCATTTTGTGCTGTAAGTTAACTTTTACTTGCTACAGGTACTTTAAATGATCCAGTGCATCACCTGCTGCATATGTTTTGTGATTTTCTGTAGTGTAATCTTTAAGGAAATACTCTCTATTATGACTAATATGTCTCACATTGTATGTGTTCTTTTAACTTGTGAAAATCTATAAAATTTCTTGTACAGGGATGCTGAGATTTTATTTCTTGTGACCACAACTGTAGACTCCGTGTGTGTTAGGTTTGAGGTTTGATCAGGTATGTAGTCTGGATCAGAAAATGATGGACAAAGATTTTTACCTGCATTATTATGGCTCTTAAACACTCAGCTTGATCGGTCCATTCAAAAGTTTGCCATGCCTTTTAACATGGTATAGTATAAAAATTTTGAGTGTTTGAGAATCCTGAAAGATGCAGGTGACACCATGTCTGTGTAATCTGGTCTAACTGTTTGCTCAATTTCTATAAGATTTAGGATGATGTAGCATCATCTTAGAGAGATGTTAAGATAAGATAGATGATTTTGTTAGTATTAG